AGCTCCTGGTAACCGTGGTGGTTATAATCGGAGGGGCAACATGCCCCAGAGAGGTGGCGGTGGTGGTGGGAGTGGTGGCATCGGTTATCCGTACCCTCGTGGTCCTGTTTTTCCTGGCCGAGGAGGCTATTCAAACAGAGGGAACTACAACAGAGGTGGAATGCCTAACAGAGGAAACTATAACCAGGTAATAAGTCAGGATGTCCTGAGGGGCTCAGGATCCGTGTAATTTAGTGGGAAGGTGGTAGGCTTATGTTGGAGATTCTCAAACTAGAGTATATGCATTGAAAAACAAATTAAACCTAGTAATGGCAAAATGAGTTTGCTTTTCAGGTGTTTTAACTAGCAACAATGAAGGTGGATTTGTAATGTTAAAAGATTGAAATAATTGAGAAACTAGCAGGAAATGCCCAGGGTTTTTCCGCCTTGCCTTCACGCGTGATATCCTATTGGATATTGTTTTATTTTGCCCCTCTCCACTATATCTACAAGCATGATAAACTTTGGGGTTCAGGGTTCCTAAAAGACTTTCCTTTTTCATAGAACTTCAGAGGACGAGGAAACAATCGTGGCTACAAAAATCAATCTCAGGGCTACAACCAGTGGCAGCAGGGTGTAAGTAATGTCTTATGTGATTATGTACATTAATTATATTGACTTTGTACGAGAGCAATCCTTAAAGAGATCTTGTCCAGGGATTGAAGTGTATAAATGAGAGCAGCAAGGTGTGGATTGTTTTATCAGTAGCCATAAATAGGTTGGAGGTGTTCAAACTTAATATTTTCATAATAAAGTAATGTGTAATGTATCTTGTTCTTTTTACTGCTAGCTTTAATTGTGTAAACTAACCAAGTTACATTTCCTTTTGTAATGTGTATTGGTAAATAATGGGCTATTAAAACAATGGTTTAATAGAAGTCAGAGGTATCACAAGTATAATTTATTTGCAGCAGTTACTGTGAATTAGATTCATTGTTCATTTCCTAAAAGCAATATGAGTGGCTTATTGATGTTTTTTTTCTTTAAAAAAAAAATTTTCTCTTACAGCAATTCTGGGGTCAGAAGCCATGGAGTCAGCATTATCACCAAGGATATTATTGAATACCCAAATAAAACGAACTGATACATATTTCTCCAAAACCTTCACAAGAAGTCGACTGTTTTCTTTAGTAGGCTAACTTTTTAAACATTCCACAAGAGGAAGTGCCTGCGGGTTCCTTTTTTAGAAGCTTTGTGGGTTGATTTTTTTTTTTCTTTTCTTTTTTGTACATTTTTAATTGCAGTTTTAAAGTGAATCGTAAGAGAACCTCAGCATTGTGCACGATAAGAGAATGTGTCAGTATTTCAGGGTTCTACATTTTATCTGTAAAATGTGACTTTTTTTTTATCACAACAAAAGTAAAATGTTGCTTTGTACCTGGTGTCTTTTATTAAGAATTTACTCCCCCCGTTTCTCACAGAGAATAACAGTCGGGAGTCATTGTCACAATATAATAGAAATGTTAGCAACCAGATTCATGAAAGGACTAAGTGGTCCTCATGAATTGCATAAGACTCTGTACTGCTCATATTACACTCCATCCTCTCTGTAGTTTTTTGTTTTTTTGTTTTTTTTGTTTTTGGGGTAGTGGCGGGGGTCAGCTAAGTAGTAATCTCTGACAAAATCTGGGAAGGCTACTTCTGTATAACAACGGAATTGGCATAATTGGTGATGAAGATAAAACTTGGAACCGAAATGGAGAAGATGGAGTGTATGTAGAAGGGCTGTTAAAAATGTAAAACTTGGTTGCATTATTTGTGGAGGCTCATACTTGTGAAGGTTAAATACCATAATTTTTCCATTTGTTCTGCATTTTGATTCTGAAAAGAAAGCTGGCTTTGCCCATTTCTTATTAAAAAACTTGTTGTAAATCCAGTTGTCTAATGGGATCTATATGAAGTTAGCTATGTCTGTATGCCCTTCTCCCACAAAATACTGTATAACTAGTGTGCTTGTAGTAGTTAACTCCACCATCTTTGTAAGCTAATGAAATTGTGAGTCACCCATTTATATCTTAATTTTTAATCATGTCAGTTCTTGAATGGGTATCTCCTTAGCCTGCTGATTTCCTTTTTCTTTCTAAAGAAAGTGGGTGGAGAAATTAATTTAGACGTTTGTTTGCAATAAAAAGAATTCATTTTACTCTTGTTTTGGGATTCTCGCCATCAAGGTTCAAAATCCCTTTATACAACTCCTAAGAGGAGAAATTTTAAGTGTGTGCTTTCTGGACAGCTTATCCTTTACTCTGTACTTAGAACATTTAGGTTTTAAAAACTTAAATGTATACTGACAGTTGATTTTATAAGTTGAATTCTTCCCTTCCCCTCCCCCCAGACGGCTTTTAACATTTAATTGAGGGGAAAAGGTATACTGGCTGGGAGAAGTTAATGCTCAGTGTATCATCTTTACAGAATGCTGACAGCTGTCCTCAACTGATAATTTTATATACATATATATGATACATGAAACTCTGGGAACAGATGCTTTTAGAAGCCATCATTCAAGCCAGTCATTGATTTCACTACTACACAACACTGCTAACTTAACTGTAGCTATGTGATAACATTAGATCCCCTATTGTAATTCTATTGGGTTTGCACAGAACACTTAATCTTCTGAAGGATCCTCACAGAAGTGAGGTATCAGGAGTCAAACTGTAGAACTAAAATTTGACTTTAGCCTAGTATTTTGTTTTCAGGTTGCTTCTGGTAAGTTCAGGTTTGTGGTATGTCTGATTGTTCAGAATTTTTGTCTTAGCCATTGAAAATCAGATTTTTGAGTTCATGTTCTTAGGATTTTCTTAGAAGCTGGAGTCGAGTTGTAGATGCTGGTGTAGGTAGTTGATTTAGGTCTAGTCGACATCAAAACAAAGGCAAATTATAAAAATTCCTAACAGTACGAAGTAGCATCCCTAGGTTTTTATCTTTAGCAATTAATGGTAGCTACCACTGGCATGAATTACTTTTTTAACTAATAGGATTTCATATACCTGCCCTTCTTAATCAGCATTTAGGTATTATACAGTTTCCATTTGTGCCTTATAAAAACCTTGGGTACACCTTCCAGCTCAGATTTGCTTAATAAATTCATATCCACAATTGCAACAGAAAATAATGGTCAAATACTAGCTAGGTCCGTATTCCTAGATCACCCAAAAATTTGTGGAGATGGGGAGGTAGAATAGTCAAAAGCTTCCTGGACATTTTACAATTACAAGCAATCTCATGATGGATGCTGTCTACACTTGGCAAAGATACAACCTTAGGAAGTGCTTAAATTCAGAAAAGGGGCTGGACTTGATGGCACATTCCTGTAATACCATCATTTGGGAAGCAGAGGCAGAAGGCTCCTCATGAGTTAGAGGCCAGCCTGGGCTACAATAGCAAAAACCTGTCTTATCCTCCCCCCAAAAAAGCTGAATAGCAAAGAAATTGTAGAAAAGCCCAGTTTTGGCAGATATTTATGGAGTGTTGTTTTTTTCCCTCTGCCTGTCACCTCGCCCTTGTAGCAAACATTCTGAAGCACATTTACTTGGGAGCAGATCCTAGAGAAGATAGCTTTGGGTTCAGAGTGTGCTCATAGTGAACCCACAGTGGGGTAGGAGGCTGGGGGTATGGTTCAGTGGTAGCACTTGACTAGGGTGCTCACTTCTGGAGTACAAAGAACTGAATAGGAAGGAGATAATACTAAAGTCGAAGAGTAACTGCAGCCAACATAAAATTTATTGCTAGTGGCCCACATAGTAATAGCTGGCCTTTGGCTCTGAATTCTCAAAAGACAAGTCAGTGATCATCAGCTAATGGTCATACAGTCCACACAGCAAAATGAACCTTGAGGTAGTTTGACCACATTGAGTTAAAGGGAGCAGTCTTTAATTTTCTTAGAATTAGTGTAGGAAACATAGCTAATAGTACTAATTGTATTTCGCCTGGGAATTTTCATGAACAGATTCTGCTTTGTATTGAAAATTTCCTTGGTTATGAGAGTGACGTTTTTCTTACAGACTTGTTCACTAACAAATTGGCATTTTATCCTAGAACCATGACTGCAACACGTTTCACTGCACAAAAATAGTATTTTATTTTTTTCATTTTTTTAGGTAATGATATGTAAAGACCAAATTTAGGTGTATGAGATTTGATTAAAAAATAAGAATAAACTTCCCATAATTTCTACACATAGAATGTTTTTTAATGTGAGTATAAGAATTACTCCTGGGGCCGGGGAAATAGCGCAGGTCCAGAGTTCAATCCCTGGTACCACCAAAAAATAAAAAAATAATTACTCCCTAGTTCCTCCTGCCTTTTAATCAGGTGACTTTTTGCCCTGTTAAAAAGAACCCAGTATTTTATACAAAGCCATTTTCCCCCTAAAATTCTTAAAATTTAAAGTGTGGATTTGGTACTAATTACAAATCTGATAGCAGTTGCCTAAATTTGCTGAGAACAAACTGCAATACCTTGTATGTAGAGATTGGATGTTTTTAGCTTGAATTTTTTTTTTTTTGGATATAGCTGTTATTTATTAAAACATAGTAATGGTACATCTAGCCAGTTCTTTGCTTGAGATTTTAGTCATCCTGTTGCTTAGTAGCAGTACAGATAAGTGTAAGACAAAAATACTTCAGCTAACTTGTGGAATGGACCTGTGTCTGTCTAACCAGGTTTTTTGAAATGAAGCGTAGCACTAATTGAAGTGGTATGCATTTGGATAGAAAAGCACTTGAAAAGTGGGGACGCCCAAGTCTGTATGCTAGTTTATTTGTTAACCCCCTAGATTGGTATCAAATTTGCCAAAGCATTAAAGACTTAATGGGGAAGTAGCTTAGAAAGATTTTGTACACATTCCGATCCTTGCCAATTAACCAAAAATACAGGTGATTGAATAGTGGGCCCTTGAATTTCATTTGTACAGTATAGTGTCAGTGGGTTACATTCATGAAGTTAATATAGAATTCAGAAAATAACACCTACTGAATACTTCATGGGATGAAATCACTTGTGATTGTAACCCAATGCTGTTGGGGAAGTTTATCAGAATCACTGGATAGATACACCTTTTAGCTTAACTATTATGTGATTAGGATGGAGGAAGATTTAGGCATTTAATTTGTAACTATGATTTGCCTAAGAGTATAAGCCCAGAAAATTAGCTAATCCATTTACAGGCCAAGATTCATATGTGTACCTGCATCTGGATAACATGGGGTTTGTCTTTGAAACCGCTGAATCTGGGTGTGAGAAAATTCTGAACGGTAGAAAGTAATGATAATCTGGGCTGGTCCAAGTCTGGAAACATGTCTTAGAGAAAGATGCAGTTCTTTGCACCATTACAGTCATTGCCACTGCATAATCAACGCATGTGTGTTCATTTTAAAATATCATAACACTGAGTTCTTCATGGATTGCAGACTAAAGAGCTGGCACAGTACAGTATCTGGTTGATAAATACTGAACTGTTGGTAGCATGGTCTTCCCTGCTTTTTCTTTGATAGGCTCATTCCAATGACATTAAGAGACTAGAATGAAATTACTTGGTAAGCACTCAAATCTTACTACACTAATATCAGTCAGCTTAAGTCTCCAAGAACAAAGATGGACAATAGGCATCTAGCTTAGGTGCTGTAAAGACTGCAAAAACAGAATAGTGACTGCAATTTGTCAACTTTTGAGCTGTTAAGGGAGAGTTATGGACAAGTACAAGAACAAAAGGTTCCAATGTACTTTTGTTTTTTTCTTTGAAAAGTAATAAAGCAAGAACTATGCTGATTTAAATTTCATCTCCTTTTCCTTAGTCTGTCCATGTGAATGTGCTGTGTGGAAGAGTAAAAGGGCCCAACTAAATGTGTTCCAGTGATTCTAATAGGTATTCCACATTAATTGTATATTTAACAATTGTTATGTTAGGGTTCTAGGATCACTGTCAATACAATTTTTAAAGATGGGAAAAGAGGGCTGGGTGTGGTGGTACACGCCCGTAATCCCAGTACTTGGGAGGCAGAGGCAGGAGAATCGTGAATTCCAGACCAGCCTGGGCTACAAAGTGAGCTCAAGGCCAGCCAGAACTGCATAGTGAGACCCTGTCTCAACAAAAACAAAGATGGGCAAAGAAATTGGTAGCCAGATGAACAGATTCTCAGAATTTTTAATTTACATACCTGCACAGAGTATTGTGTCCTCTCTACAGTTGGATGGCCTTCCATATAACTTTGTATAAATATTTACTATGCTCCCTAACATTAAAGATGAAATAAAAACTTTTGAGTTGTAATGTAAAACAGTAGGATAACTTTCTGTCCTTGTTCCCTGAAAATCTTTTCTGGATTTACACACAAACTGCCTTAGAATATCTGGGAAACAGATTGAGCTCCTTTTGAGTAATGAAGTGTAAGACTGACGGAATGGGAAGGTTTGTGGGGTAAGCTTTGATCATGCCAGTCCAGAGCATGTAATCAGTGTAAAATCTGACTTTGATGCTCAAAGGGAATTAATTTTTCCAACTACCTATTCCAGAATGTTTTTTAGGTCAAAATGAGAGGACTTGGGTGCAGGTGTGATCATTGTAGGTATCAACATTTTACTCCTGTGCATTATGGCCTCGGAAGGCAACCTTCTAAAGACCAGGCAGCTCAAAGTTATATAACCATTTCTGTTCATTAGAAAAAGTACCCATGAAACTAGAAAAATGAAATTATTTCAGAAGCTTTGAATTTGTGGTACAGCATACTTTTTCACTTGTCTTCATGGTATAGTGGAACCGTTTCTATGGAAACTCGTCTTTTATAAAAGGTGTATGTACAGAGATTATTTTGATACCAACTGAGGGCTTGCCTTTTGATGGGTGGTTTACAGTGTATGGGACATTACTTGCTAGAAAAAAAAAAAATGGAAGAGGTGTACCACTCACTTTGCAAGATCATCTAAGACTTTGGAGTTACTGTAATCAGTGGTAGCCTTAAGATGAAAATAATGTAATGTCATCCTTACTCTAGTGAATAATGGTTGAAAAGCACTTAAATATTTGCAACACGTCTGTAGTGCTCACATTACAAACTTAAAAGTGCAATACTTTGGAAAATATATTCATAATAAAATTTTTCTTGTCCCAGCTGTTTCCCTTTTAAAAAAGTTTTAAGTTCTTAATGTATAAAATAAGCTGTGTGGAAATGCCAGTATTTGGGTAGTGATACTGGCATGTTGCCTGATTTGATATTTACTGGAGTATTTTAAGATGCTTCCAAAGTTTTCTAGAAAACCGCTACAAATAATTACAACAATCTTCTGATTTTTGTACTTTGCTCATTAAGGTCTGCTTACCCAAAGGATAGTGTATATTTTAACATGACTTTTAAAGGGGTGGCTTGACCCCGTCACAGATTTTTATCTAGGAATAAGAGGATTCAAACCCTGTTTGATCCCTAACTCTTTGCTGAAAAGTGCATAAACAGGAATCCTGAATTTATTATATAGACCTCCTCGCATTATATAATCGAAGCAAAGGGAAACCAGCGATGGAGTTAGAGGTACGTAGACTAAAGAGATGCTTGCAAATCAAATAATGGTTCTAGTGGAGTCCAGAACTCTTGTTGCCAAACTCAGTCAATATAAATCACAAATCAGAAGAGCTGCTAATTTAAATTCCCTGAGGTCCCTTTACTGAGAAGGAAAAGCAAGTCAAGAAAAGCGGAGGGGTGAGGGAAGGGGAACATGTATAATAGAGTGCTAGGAAGATAAATGAAAGTAGGTATTGTAGAAAAGCTATGAGAAGTTTTCAAAACTAATCTACAATTCTGTTTTGATCAGCTATTTAGCTGGTACCTACTGCTATATCACCTAGTGTGAGATTTCGGAATTAATGGAACAGTGAAGGAAGCCATGTGCTGGAGGCTCCCAAGGGAATATGGAAGGTATGTTACTCTTACAGTTTAAAGTATTCTGCAGGAGTGGGATGAGGGGCAATCTTGCTTAGATCCTGTTTATTAGCAGTAATTTAGTCTGATGTTCATTGACTACTTTTATTGATGTCTTCTGGGAAAATGTTCTTTCCAGCATTTAGGCACCTGTGGTCTTAATACAGTGGAAGGCTATAGTAGGTTTTTAAATTCAAATCCATAGTGAAAGCACCTTGTTTGAAGAAAAAGGGGTGGAGCTGGGGCGTGGTTCAGGCCTGCACAGCGCGGGGAAAGGAGCTACTGTAGTGTAGCGTATGTCAGCTAATGTCAGGAAAAGCACAGGTAGCTGAAGGAAAAGGGAATGTAGTTCCTAGAAGTGAATAAACAGAAGAATGGAAGTTTCTAGAGGTAGATGAGGAAAGGTGTTGCAAGTAGAGTGTGGCACTCCATTGGAGTCTCGGATTCTGGTGGAAAGGGCACAATGTGCTTGGAGGCTTGGCCAAACCTCCCGTGGCTAAGATTTGCAGTAGAGTGGTGGGGTGGAAACAAACAGGAATGGGAACTGTCAGGACCATCTGGGAACATGAAGATGCTCAAGATGAAAGGATGTCTCTATACACGGTGATGTTTGAGAGTTTTAAAGTAATGCAGCTAAATTAGGTGCATTGTAATTTGTTCTGTCCAGGTCTTCAGTTTGTGCAGTCATTGTGCTGTGAAGAATTAGCCCTATTAAATGATGAAGTCATTGGAAATTATACCAGCCGAATGGTTTCAGGGTAAGATGGAATTGTGGTATGTAAGAGCTAAAAGACATTTTGAATTACTCCAGTTGTCTGGAGTTTACATGTTATATTTCTGTTAAGTGTTCTATATATAACCTGCTAAAATGTCAAGATGATTTAATGCTTAACATTCCCCCAGTCAAGCAGTGCTACTTCTTAAGAGGTTCCATGTTACTTGACATATGGTCTTGCTGTGCAGTTCAGCCTGGCGCTAAACTCACTACATAGCCAGGTTGTCTAGGATTTTCCAGCAGTCCTCCTGTCTCAGCCTCAAGTGCTGGGTTCACCAGGTGTGTACCACCACACCTGGCAAAACTTAACCATGACCCATTTCAGTACCGGGCTACATGTTTGTTCATCTGTGCCAGTAAGAGCTGGCCAATTTTGTAAATGCGGTTTCCTTTACCGTGTTTTTTTTAAGCCCTCCCTTTAGTGGCTGCAAATCAGAAAAACTTGTTAGAATGTGTTTGGCAGCATTCACTGATATGTGGCATTTGGTAAGCCATGTGGCCTGTGTACGTAATGCTTTGTGATGGTCACAAAATGCCCTGTGGTGAAATGAAGTAACCATCCTTTCTCATCCCTTTTGAGAAAGGATGCACAACAAGCCTGTTTCTGTGAGACACTAGATTGATTGGACCGGTGACTGAGCATTCCCGTCTTATTTCCTTGATATGCTAAACATCTTCAACGCTGAACAGACTTATTTGAGGTCTGTATGTTGCCCAGGCTACCCATGAGTCCTCCAACCCAGGTGACTGATTTTGCTTCAGCCTTAGCTGGGACTGTAGATGCATGCTACAGATTTTCTTAAGTAGTGTTTGTTTACTAAAACAGGAAGATTTTGCCTGGATGAGTTAATACTGGGGTTTTGGTTGACATTGGGTGTAAGATCTTGTGTCTTACTTAAGGCAATAAAATGTACATGTTTTTGACTACTTTCATACCAAAATGTTAATACTGTATATACTCAACTAAATGCACTTGTTAAAATCCTACATACGTAAAGCATTAAGGGCAACTGATTTTTGTTTTTAAGGCAAGTTTAAAGATACAGATAGAAGATAACTAAGTTATTTTACTTTGCATTAGACGCGTTGCTTAATGCAAAGAAACCATCACATGAGTAAACTATACTAATATTTTACGAATGACAGATCTGTACATAACACAGTGGAACACTGCACTGACGGTAAAGGCCCAGGATGAGTTGGCAAGTTTTCATACAATTATGAAAAAGATGCACTATAGTTTACACATACTTTATTTACTCAGTTGAGGGCTCTCTGATTGTATGTATAAAATGCTCTGTAGTTGATCCCAGCATTCTTCACATTGACTTCAAGAAGTTCTGGTTTTTTTCTGTTGAAGTTGCTCAGTTGCTACTTGTTGGTTTATTTTCTTTCAGGATCAAGGTGGGTGCTTTCATAGAGAATCTTATTTTTCATTCCTTTTCTGGCAATTCTTTCCTGTATTCTTTCCTTTGCATAATTATACCTGCAATGAAACCTTATAAAACAATATAAATTATTAATATACACTTTTTTTATAGTCACAAGTTTGAAATGCTTACAGATGAAGATGTGAAGACTCAGTTATAAATGGTCTAATGCACAGTGCTGTTTTTATGTCACTACCTATGAACAAACCAATGTAAAAATGAGGATTTGTATGACAGCTTAGTTTGAAATATAGAACTGAGATTGATTCCATAATTTACATTAATCAGAACAAGAAGGGATGAAATAATTAGCAGGTAAACAATTAATGTCTGTTGTCATTTATTGGTTTATAAGTGTAATAAGGCATATGTGAGTGGTATTTCATAATATTTAAAGGCAAAGGCCATTCCAGCACCATTGCTTTTGTAAAATGAATTTCCATTAAAAAGTCCCTAAAAAGCTTTTTAGCAGGTCCATCTCCCAATAAGATTTCTATGAAAAATATAAACATGGGCTTTTGACCTAGGCAACCTACTGTGATACTGGGTTTTCTGAAATAGATGGCAAACATACCAGCATCCTAAAGTCACCATGATAAATCCTCCTACACCAACATCACATGATCTTCTAATTCTGCCTGCCAGGAATAAAGAATTAGAGCCATCGTAATTATTAAGAATATAAGTTAAACATAAGATTGTTATTCCACGTAGGAAAACTTCCAGAGGAAAGGGGTATTTTGCATAAAGAAGCAAGCGTACTCACTAGTTAACAAAAAGTGTCCGAGTCCAGCCACAACAGATCCTAATGAACCATACAGTACTGAATCCCGTGCACAGGGAATGTTTTCAACGTCTAAAATTCCTAGGAGCTTAAAGGGCTAGATAAAAAACAGAACCTAGGTTGAACAAGATCATCTTAAAGATAATGTGCAAAGATTACAGTACAAACTTTGGCATATTCTATAGTTTATACCTTTAACAATCAGTAACCCTGAATCCGTGTCTTTGAGTTAGAAACCTTGATAATTTGACAAAGCCCTCAGCAGTAGTATAGCGGAATTCTGCCATCTCACTGACCAGCTGAATTGGAAATATTAGAACTTCTGATTAGTTTCTTTGGGAATTTTTCACTTAAAAGTTAAGTGATTTGGGAAGCATAAATGAGACTGTTTGAGCTCTACTTATAAGCGTTACTAAGATTTCTTTCATCTTGGTGTTAGATCTAAATACTAGTTGCAGTTACATAACATCTCCTGTGAGCATGGCTAATGTATTTCTCTGGCCTGTTTCTCTGCCTGTCTAACCTTATTGATAGTATATGGATTCCACATCTAAGTAAACCCTGGTGAATTTTTGCATCAGTTCTGCCATGACCTTAATGTGTCTCTAGCCTCAATTAAAAATCAAAGGGATTAAATTTCTCCAAGTGCTTCAATGAGCCATACTCTTATGTGTTTAGTCAGGCTCAGGGGCCAGGGAGATGGCTCAGTAGAATAAGCTGCCTGGCAAGTGCCAGGGCCTGAGTTCAATCCCTGGTTCCACCAGGGGAAAAAAAGGTCTCATAGACCTGTCTATGACTGAGAAATTTGTTTTGCTTTTTGAGACAAGCTTGGCGGTAGATAACACCCTTGAACTCCCAATGATCACCCAACCTCAGCCTCTCCTCAGTTCTAGGATCACAGCTGTGCACCACTTGCATCCTGGGTGTGTCTTGAAGGTAGAGCCCTTCTGTAGCCTACAGAAGGCCCTGCATTGGTTTCCAATGCTGTTAAACAACTCAAAACTCAAAATAATGCTATGTTCTAGAACTTGGCTAACACAGTTTTCACCACTGCTTTAAAAAATACAGCTGGATAAGAGACAGCCTAGGAGAGAAAGGTACACAGAACAATAAAAGGTTAACATGAAGATAACTCCACTTCATTGTTTTGCTTCTTTGGCTTAAGCTGCTGGCAAAGACAAAATAAAATGTGACTTTGTTCTTATTAAAGACTATATCTTGCATTGTGGTTTTTTTTTTTTTTTTCTGTTTCCTTTTCTGTCACCCTTTCCACAGGACTGCCACCAACTCACAGTCTTAAAAAGGCAGGGATTTTTTTGTACTGGGAATCAGACATGCCAAACAAAACCATCAGTCTAATATCAGGATCTTCTGGTTGTGATAGCTTTGTCTAGCAAGACCTGTGATTGCATAGCCTCTTTACAACATACCTAAACACTCAGGCTTTGAAATAAAAGGCTGAAAAGAACACTAGTAAGATGTGACACATCTGACACAATGCCTATATCATTTCTACTGTCAAAATGTATCATCTGAAGTTCTGGGAGCATTTCCTGAAGGTCACATGTGTAGTGAAAAATTAGAAGGTCAGTGCCCAAGTCTACATCTGCAGTGGGTTTTGAAATATCGGGAAGGATATAACAAAACCACAACTCGAGTTCTCCATCTCTTGATAACAAAGTAAACCAGCCTTCAGCACTACAGTGTAGTTACTTTTGTAAGTATTCCACTTTAGTGAAGAACTCTTCATACAGGAGTTAACATTTTCATGCATTCCCTTAAGTGGCTTGCAAGCCTGTCACAAATTTAACCCTTCAGAGGTGAAGGAAATTGTACCTGGTTTACTCTGCTGGAACTCAGGGAAGTTCAAGAATTTCCCAAACACTAGGGCTGGTGAGATGGCTCAGTGGTCTAAAGCACCTACTTAGAACAAGCTTAGCAAAGCACAGGGACTGCGGTTCGATTCCCCCAGCACCAAATGCCAGCCCGCCCCGCCCCCTGGTGGGCTGAGCTGGCCACACACACACACACACACACAAATAAAAAGAATTTCCCAAACACTGGAGCCAAAGATAAATCTAGCAATTATTTTAAGAGCAGGTCATGTACACATGCCGTGAGGGGCTTGGCTACAGCCCACCCACTCACCCATATTGCCACCCCATCTTAGTGTGTTCTACTTGCTGACCCCCCATTCTTGCTCTAATTCCCTTCAGAGGCATTTCAGCTGTTGTCCAGGGGGCTAGGAGACCCCTCCTCTTGTAAAAGCCATCTTTATACTGCTCTGTTGAATCATTTAGTTGGCCTAGAACAGCAATGTCTGGTGATGCTGTCACCAGTGATTTCCATTGTAGACCTTGTATAGTCTGTCCTTTTCTTCCCCTTTGAGACGGTCTTGCTATGTAGCTCAGCCTAGCCGTGAACTTACAGCAATCTTGTCTCACTTCTGGGCTAGAATTATAGGTGTCTGCCATGACCCCTGGCTGCTGCCCTTATGTTCTCTGGAATAGAATCGTCCTAGCTATCTCAAGGCTTTTTTCCATTTTAGTGCCACTTACGATGACTCCAATTAATGAACCAAAGCCTGATACCCTAATCCAGTCACAGTAAACCTTAGTGCTGTCAGTGAGGAATAGTGGGCTGCAATACAAGTGCCACAGGTTTGCTGTCACTGTCCTAATCACCCAAGTTTCTTACATTCATCTGCCTGCTGACCCCTCTTGTTCACTTAATGGGAACCTTCAACTTGAATTACTTTTCACCCCCAAACCTTTCTCTTAATGGCTTCTCAGTTTCTAGGAAGATCCCAGTCATCCTCGGTTCTTTTGTCACATCCATGCCCAGTGTACCAGCATGTCTGGCCCTGAACTGATTCAAGCTCCCACTACTGACCTGCCATTTTGCTCCATTTACCTCAGAGCTGTGCATCAGGCAATGAGCTGTGCTCCTTCACAGCTCTGCAGGCACCCAGGATCAGTCCTCCACCTCCTGGTCTGTTCTGCCTGGCCATGAGTCAGGCACATTGGCTCCCTCATTCCTGACCAACTTGGAGGGTTGCTGCACAGCAAAATGGCTCTGCCCTGGATCCTCATGTGGCTGGCTCCACAAGTGGAATTCTTGCTGTGCCATTCCTCCAAGGGAATGTGAGGTCCACCGAGGACTCGTTCTGCTTATTTTTATTAAGTTTCGATACCTAGTACCTAGGCAAGTGCCTACAGTTTTTTGAATGAGTAAGTGGATGACTGGAATTTGCCTGAGTGTGAATTTACCTTTATGTACCATGATACTTCAAAGTTTATCAAAACAGTGAGGACTGATGAAAGACAAAGATTTGAGACATTTCACTACACAGCCCAGATCTCAGCCTCCTGATGGTGGGATTAAGTGCACTGCCAAGCCCAGCTGAAAGTTTTTAAGGGCTAGTTGTGTCTGCTTACTTGTTTAAACTACTATCCTACTGGAAGCATAAGTTCTCTTTAAAAGCTGACTCTGGCTTGGTTTTCTGACATCCCAGTCTGTTCATCAAACATAGCTTATATCTATTATCTCTGATAGGTACTAGTTTATGAGCAACGTGTCTGTAGGTCATCACACATGCCTCCCCCACCTGGTGTGCTGTTTGGGCCTACACTCATCCTGCTTTTCATACTAGGTTTTGTTTGCCACTGATACAGCAAACAGTCTATATTGTTGACTTTTCACTATTTCTAGTGGCTTAAACCTTTTGCAGTCAAAAGTTCAAGATCACACAGCCTGATCTACAATTTAGTGTTGTTATGGTGCAACTTGAAATATACAACTTTCAAAATAACAGCTTTTTAAAAACACTATTACAAATGTATTGTTAGAGAAAAAAAAACAAAAAAACCAAAACCTGTTATGGCATTCAGCAGAACAATTCTAATCAACAGTTACGTGTGGTTAATACGAAGATCTGATGCTCTGGCCAAATTTAGAATTTTCCAGAGAAGGGCAAGGAGAGAGCAAAGGTCTTCACCATCTGCTCAGGACTGGGTGTGTTGTAATTTACTGCTTTCAGAACTGACTCCCTAATGAAAGGGTATGTAAGATCTGTACTTTTAGAAGCAGGCCAGGCAAAAAGGCGGGCTGTAAAGTTACGACCTTTCAAGGGTACTACGGTAGCAATCATGCCTGCAGATGAGGACCGGGCACAAGGAGAGCAAGCCCTCCTTCCTTGCAGGGAGATCAAAGCGGGCGAGCAGGTGCGTGCCCTAGCCACTACATCCATGATTGGGTTTTGTTCCCTGAAGGAACGGGCTAATCGGACTGGACTTTTTTTTTTTTTTTTGGCGGAACCAGGGATTGAACTCTGGCCCTTGCGCTTGTTCTACTGAGCTATCTCCCCGGCCCCGACTGGGCTTTTAAACGGTAAAACTGCCCAGTTTACAGGACAGAAAGTGCGCAAGATAGGTCTGCAGCTGAGGCAAGCTGTTGGCTATGCACACTCCTACTTGGTCGAGGCCGAGAATGTGTCAGAAATGCTTTCACCATTTTTTGTGGTGGTTTTTTTTTTTTTTTTTGTGGTACTGGAGGTTAAACCTAGGACCTTCGCAGTAAATTACTGTTCCCCCCTCCCTCCTTGGGGGCAGGAATTGCCTAAGCTGGGTCGGAAACTTGGGATCCATCTTTTAAAATAATTTTGGCAGGGGATATAGCGCAGTGGCACATGCACCCGAGTTCGGCCCCCAGTAAGCCCCCCATAATAATTTTATAGATATATTTTAGATGTACACAACAACGTTCATCATAGGGAATGTGTGCCTGTACAAGACACACCTCGACTCTTTTCCCCTTCTTCCCCTCCTAAAGTGTCGGGCTTACAAGGCGTGCGCCATCACACCCGGCTTCAACATTTCAACTTAAATGCTAGGACATAAATTCATCGTAATGACAGTTTCCATACGCCGGCTTCTATTTTGCATCGCCCTTTAAATGTACAGTACACCATTAAAAACCAGGGACCCGTCCCCGGCGCGTCCCTAGCAAATGCAGCGCAGGGTCCCTGCCCGCAGAGTTCGGTCACAGGACTGGGCGCTGTCAGCTGTTTCATAAGGACTGCAGCGAAGTCATTCATCGCGCGGCCCCCTCCCCCTCGACCCGGACACTCCGTCCAGGTCACTGCCATCCATGTGGAGGGGAGGGCAGGACCAGGGCTCGGAAGGGCTCTCATGGCTTCCAGCGCGGAGCGGCAGAGAAGCCGGACACGCGCTGGGTGGGAGCCCCGAGGCCTAGCCCTGCCCCCGC